CTAGATGCATCATCCATGCAAGTTTGGTCAAGGTAGGGCTTATAGTTACTTGGGAATGGACCTGCTCCTAAAACTTTAACCTGGTCACTCATCCGGAAAATCTAGGTCAGATCCAGCATCCGAAGCAAGTGTGGTAGTGTCCATCTCTAGATGCATCATCCATGCAAGTTTGGTCCAGGTAGGGCTTATAGTTACTTAGGAATGGGACTTGCTCCTAAAACTTTAACCTGGTCACTCATCCGGAAAATCTAGGTCAGATCCAGCATCCGAAGCAAGTGTGGTTGTGTCCATCCCTAGAGGCATCATCCATGCAAGTTTGGTCAAGGTAGGGCTTATAGTTACTTGGGAATGGACCTGCTCCTAAAACTTTAACCTGTTCATTCATCCGTAAAATCTAGGTCAGATCCAGCATCTGAAGCAAGTGTGGTAGTGTCCATCCCTAGATGCATCATCCATGCAAGTTTGGTCCAGGTAGGGCTTATAGTTACATGGGAATGGGACTTGCTCCTAAAACTTTAACCTGGGACGCCGACGCTAACGCCGACGCCGACACCGACGCCGACGCCGACGCCGGGGGTATAGCATAAGCTCATCTCGACTTCGTCGAGGTGAGCTAAAAATTACTTACAGATGAAGCTTTTTTGCCCAAAAGTAAGACAAATAGGATGATTAGAGATCATAGTTAGTAAGGTGTTTGATACAAATCTTAAAGTAGATCCATCTACTACCCTGTACTTGCCCCCTCTCATAAAATTCTTTTATTCAATTGACCTTTCAACTACATTATTTACAGTGATTAAGTATCATACATATATAGGTGAATAGCAAAGGGGAATAACTTCTCTCAATTAATAGAGCCCTGCCAAGCACCAAAACACTTGACCAAGTGGCTCAGATATTTCAAAAATCTGTTAAAAATATCCTTGCTTATTACAACTTGGTACTCTGTTTGCCCCCTAGATGCCAAGGAGCAGAGAGGATTTTCAAAAAAATAATACATTTTTACAACATAACCCAAAGACCCTGACACTGGGGCTACAAATTTCACACTTTTGAAGAGGCACCTTTGCTAATTATAACTATGCACTTAGTTTATCTGCTTCATACCCAGGAGCATAGAAGAAGATTTTCAAAAGAATTAATGCATTTTTACTATAATATTATCAACAAAGCCCCGCCCTAACACCAGAAGCCCTGACGCAGGTGACACGAAATTCATAATTTTGGATGCACTAAGTGTGTTTGCTAAATACCCAGAGGCAGATAATATGATTTTCAAAGAAGTAATGCATTTTTAGGATATATTGAACAGAGCCCCGTCCCAACACCAAAACCCTGACCCAGGAGTTATGAATTTCATATTTTTGGAAGTTGCTTTCTTGATCATCATGATCATACAATTAGTTTGTCTGCTAAATGCCCAGGGGCAGAGAAAAGATATTTAAAGAATTATCTGATATATATAGTGCCCTATCCTGACATCAGAAGCCCTGACCATGGGGCTATGGAATTCAAAATTTAGGAAGAGGCACACTTGTTCATGCAATCAATTTATATGCTTAATACCCAGGTGCTGAGATTTTCAAAAAATTAATGCATTTTCACTAAATAATCATTAGAGCCCTGCCCTAGAGCCAGAATCCTTGTCCAAGGGGCCATGAAATTCACAAGTTTGGAAGAAGCACACTTGATTATTATAACTATGCAATTACTTTGTTTGCTTAATATCCAGGAGCAGAGATTAAGATTTTCAAATAACTAATGCATTTTTATTATATACATGTAATCAACAGACTACCCTCAATACCAGAACACTGACCCTTGGGCCACAAATTTCACAATTTGAAAGGAGCACCCTTATTCACTATAACTATGCACTTGGTTTATCTGCTGAATAAGCAGCAGCTGGAGAAAATAGGATTTTCTCAGATTTAATGTGTTTTTACTATAAAATCAGTGACCCCCCCCCCCCCCCCACAGAAACCATGACCTAGGGGCCATGAAATTCTCAATTTTGGAATAGGTAGATCTGCTCATCATAACCGTGCAATATTACTTTGTTTGATATCCATGAGCAGAGAACAAAGAAATAATGCATTTTTACTATATGATCAATAGAGCCTCTCCTCTCCACACCAGAACCCCTGACCCTGGTGCCACAAATTTCACAATTTTGGAAGAGGCTCCTTTGATCATCATAACAAAGCATCTAGTTTATTTCCTAAATATACAGGGGGAAAGGAATTTTAAAAGAATTTTCACTAGTACTTGATTATTAGAGCCCTTCCCTAACTGCAGAACCCCTGACCCTGGGGCCATGAATTGAATAATTTTGGTAACAGGCCCACTGCTTATTACAATCATGCTAACAGTTTCATTGTTTGATGTCAGGGAGTAAATAAGGAGATTTTTAAAGATAGCAATAATTTTGATAATTTAGCCCCATTCCTAAGGCCCCAGGAGAGCAGGACCATGAATTTCATAATTTTTGTTCCCCTTCATTCTTTGATGCTACAAGCCAAAACTGGCTGTAATTGGTTCAGTGGTTAGGAGAAGAAGTTGAAAATGTTCAAAAGTTTATGACTGATGGACGGTGCAAAACAGTCAGCAACGGACAAAGGTCAACTGAGTGAAGCAGGTGACCTAAAAATGAATAGAAAAGAAAAATCTACAAGTTCTTTTTCCTGTATTGTATATAGGAGTACAATAATTTACATTGAAGAAAGGAAAACAACAAGCACTAGAACAAAAAACAAAAAGCAAAATAAATAAACAAAACATCTTAGTCCATAAATTTTAAAGAGCAACATTTTTAAATATAAACTTAACAGGCTAGGTCATTTCTCAATCTCTGTAAATCAAAAATCTATGGGGAAAAAAATTAGACTCAGCAGAAAATAGATTATCACATACACAAAATTAATATGAAAAATCAACATGACACAAAGAATACAATTAATAATAATAATAAGAGGCCCACGGGCCATAGTAATTTCTTAAGTAGCCTTGGTCCTACTGTTCTAAAGAAAAGAGATTTTTAAAAGAATATTCCTAAGAACAAAGTACAAAACATACATAAAATCCTCAATAGCTAGAACCATTTCAAAAGTTCAATATCACCCTACACATATGTGTACATATATGTTGCACAAACATAGGAAGAATGGCTTCATCTATGAAAACAGTACCAAAAAATGTATTCTTGGAAAAAACAGAAAACAATAAAACCATGAAAATGCACTCAGTTTGCTTAAAAATACACACACAAACACACACACACATATATATATACTACAAAACAATGCAGGGAATAAATGATTGTAAAGTATAAAATTTCATCAAAAGAAAACATAAGCATCAAACAGGACTGAAGTACTGTAGTAAAGTTTCAAACTGTTAAATGTATATGTATCAAAAGAAACCAAATTTCACTTATTTTTGTTAGTGCTTCTCTCTCGATCAATATTTGTATGAAACTGAATTTTTTGGAATTAAATCTTAAATGAATGTCTCTTTAGTCTTATAATGTCCATATGCTAGTCAATTACAAGAAATATATGTTCCCTCCTTTACCATTGTCATTTTTAAAAATAAAGCAATTCCCTACTTGTCATATCTAATGTCTTACAGTGAATGAATCATGAAAACAGTTATAAGAAAATGATTCCTAAGACATTAACCAAGCAATATTTGACATGGAATATAGCAAAATAAAAGATCGCTGTCCTTTGACCTGATTATCACTCGGGTTCATGCCATAATCATTGTCAAACTAACATAAAAACTTGGAGGACTATCAACTACAAGGATCCCTAAGCAATGAGTTCCTCATTATGAGACATACCTATAGCAGAAAATTCAGTGACATTTTAATTCAAATACATGGATAGGTGACCAAACTAATAACTACATGTATCAAGGAAAGACTTTTTCATATATCAGTTGGGCAATATTTGACGTGGGTATAACAGATGAAACAGACTTTTGACTTTCTGACCCAAAAATCCGAACAACCAATCAGAGCCAACCAGCAAGTACAAATTTAAATGTCCCACTTCATAAAACATGAACTTAAAACATTATCTAACTAAATTGTGACATGTGTGAGTCTAAGAAGTGCAAAAATCATTAAAAAAAATCTGAAACACTTTCTCAAAATATCTTGTATCTCAATTAAAACCCATTTAAGAATAAGAAGTACATTAAAAACAGTAATAGTTTTGGCCAAATACATGTAATGCTCACAATAGACTTATCTGTTATTATTATACATTTATATAACTGTTGCATTGTTATACCTAATAAAAATTTGTTTTTTAAATGCCCCCTTCATACATAACCATGGTCTTGTATACTTTTGTTTAAGAGAGCTTTACTTTCACGTTATTAAGCCAGACAAACTGCTTGTGAAAATTTCATTCTTGTAAATATTTTTATTAGCTTAGGATATATATAGCAATAACCAGCAATCGTGATTTTTTTTCCTCGCTTATAAATACCAAACAGCTATCTCACAAAAATAAGTTGCAGGCAAATTTGGTGACTACAGTATATATGTTAAACATGCTTTTGAACACAATTAATCTTGAACACGTCTGAATTCACCTGAGATTTGATACTTTATGACTAAAAGAAAGAAAAGACACACCACCCCCCCCCCCCCCCAATAAAACAAACAAACAAACAATGAAGCCTTTGGAATGCTTTTGTTCACATGAATAATTTTAAACCATGAAAGGTATATTACCGGTACATGCCAAAATTGCCAATCTAATGCCAGTAGTAGCAAAAGGGCTAAATTAATGCTGTCCTACTTGTACTAACCCAATCAATTTTTAACTAGTACTGGTATTTGGGCTTCCATCTACTTTTTTATGCTCATAATTTGTAAACCACTTTTATTTTGGTCTTACAAAATAAATTAAACAATAATTTTACTCTAGTCAACTACATGTATCTCCGAGAAATAAATGTTAAAAAAATAAGTAAAGTTGAATATTTTGAATATACCATGCATCAGTTTACAGCACTTGAAATATACAAAAGAAAAAAAAGATAACAAATTTCAGAGAAATTAAATACTTATCACAATGCTGCTGAAAGTAAGTAAAAAGTTATCATATATTAGATTGATGTCTGTAAACATTCAAAACAAACAAAAACAAAAACAAAATTATCAACCTCTAACACTCTACAAAGTAGGTTAAAAAAAGCGAACAAGCTTCAGCATTTCTAAACACTAGAAAAAAAGACTACCAAAGTAAATTACTACATATTTTTCATGAAATAATAAATTTAAGCGAAGATATTAAAAAAAAAAAAAAAATCTACGCCATAAAATCTGGCAAGTATTCCTTCTTTTATACAAAACATTTTTTGACATAATATACACAAAGCTAGGCTATATTTACCACAGTTATTCTTGCCTAATTTCTTTCCTCAATGCTATAGACGGAATCTGAAATAACCTCATGGAGTCTCTCTCGTATTGCAGTGCTGTTTTGCATGGCAAGTCGCTCCAGGTTTTTTATTCTATTTCTGAATACTCTTGGGGACTCTTCTCTCAAAGCTGGGTTCATTATCTGGGTCGGTGTCCTCTTTCTAAGATTGTACTTGGTCTGCACACTCTGTGTCAGAGAAAATGAAATAAATACTGTAAATCTATATAGGCCACTATACTTTAACTATACTTTAATATGTTAGTTATACAAATGTTAAAAGTTTGAATTAGAAGTCTATTTTGTAATGACAGTAAGATAAGAACTACAAGATGGATATTAAAAAAAAAAACTCAGCCTTCATAAATGATCATGTATAAAATGATTGATAAAACTTCGCTGATAAAATGGATTCAAACTCCAAAACACTGTGTAATGCTTTATAAAATATTGTATTGTATCATTTTTTTTAATCAATACAGCCCTAACAATTAGGTTAGTAACTAATCTAACTGACCTTAGAATCACCAGGGGTGGAAGGAGAGGGGTGGGAACTAGCATCTGCAATAAGAGAACCAATTTATTAAATCACATTTTGTCCTTGTTCTTTAACATATATAATTTCACTGGAAGACAGTCAATTCAAATCATTGAATAGCTGGAAATTATCATGTTATAAAGCATCACTGGGTAAATTAAAGCATAATACATCAATAAACAAGAAAGAAATGACTAAAAGCTATTCACTTACATTTTACTGTACAACTTATAAAAAGTTTCAAAAATCTTACTCCACTTACCTCCTCTTGATGTAGTGTAGTAACCAGTCCTCCTCCATTCCTCAATCCTCTGGAAGTTTCCTTCTCGGATTGGGGTGGAATTTCTAAGGAATTCCATTTCCTCCTCACCGATGAGCGATGATCCACAGTTACTAGTGGAGGCATTAGAGTGATCTCCCCTGACAGCTTCTGTCAGATTTGGATGGTAACTGACATCTGTGTAGGATGATTCCTCGGACATGTCGGATGAACTGCTCCAAGCAGAATCTGATTCATAACCCTCAGTACCTGTATATCAGACAAAATAGTATTAACAATTTTATACCAAGGTTATTATTTAGAATTTAAAGTTAAGAAGAGGCCATCAATTGAAGTTCTTTGGAAAAAAGACATTTCTATGTAAACTCTGGATTCCTAATTATTTGGTGGCCCTCATGCCTACCCACTTCAACCATGGTTTATACAAAAACTGAAATCCAGACTTCAAAAGGATGCTTCTATAATAGTTAAACAATTTGTGGTCTTGTATTTATTTTACTATCTATTTATACATAAGACTATGGCGTACAATTATGGCCCTTTACCTGCACGGAGACCGAGGTTTATTAAACAAACTTGATTCTACACTTTATGAGGATATTTACAAATAAGGTGAAAATTTTGTTGTCTTCTACCTCTTGAATTTTTAAAAGATTTTTCTTATACATTTCTATGTAAAATTTTGGACCCCTTCTGAGGCAACGCTTATAATAATGACCTCAGGGGTCAAGTTTTTAATATACTTGAATCTTCTCTATATCAGAAAGTTTATTTCCAAATAATGTTTATCATTTCTTCAGAAGAATTTAAATTGACCTATGCTATTTCTTAATTATTTCCTCTTGAAAGCTGCCCTTCATTTGAACAAACTTGTATGCAAAACACCCAATTGTACTTGTGGCAAGTTTGTTTGAATTTTGCCACATGGGTCTAAATGAAACCGGAAATATGAGAAATGTATGCATGGTGTACAACATATAATGCATGAGAGATGAGTATTTACAGCAATAAGTCTCTCAATAGCTGCAATAATGTAGCCCTCACCGATTTTTATTTTTTTATTGGGGGGGGGGGGGGGGAAGAGCTCTTCTGAAAACACTAGATAAAAAAAATCGGAGAGGGCTACATTATTTCAGTTAGTCTCTTGAGTGACTCAGGTGACCTATTAAGTAAGCACAAAGTCATACTCAAACTTTGAGAGCATGAAGCAGTCTTACTGTCTGCAGCAGCTGATGTGTGGGAGTGAAGGAGTGAGGGTGTCATCATTGGCCCCTGGGTCAGTGCTGCTTCCTGGACGCCTGGAAGGATGTGATCAACCTCGTCTGAATTGTGTCCCTTTTCTTTATAACCTATTACATGTATAATGTTAAAAATTAAAAAAAATACAATGAAAATTTTCAGGAAATTTTAATTGCAATTAAGTTTAATTTTTTAGCTTTATATATAGTCTCTATTAATGAGCTATAAAGTTCTTTAGAATGATTTAAGGCCTACAAAGAATCACAAGCCTCTGGCTAGCCATTGAACTTAATCATGCTTATTTATCGATAAACATAATAATAAATTTAAAATGTAAACTATAAAATTCAGAATTACGCAGAAGTTGTAGCTCTGATTTGATGTCCATGAGGAGTTGATTGTTGACAACATTAAGATCCCGGTATCGAGCAGCATGAATCACCAGTATGACCATGGCTAGGCATCCACTGACTTTACGACAGAAAACATGCCAGCCGTACGCAGCCTCCTGTGTGAAAATCACAAAACTTTATCATTTCTTTAATACAATTTTTTTTCCTTTATAATGTTTATATAGCAATACATGTACCATGCACTTGTCAAAGTGTATAACCAAGTGTATAAGTTTTCTACACTATGACACTATAAAGATTTATCAAAAAATTAAAATATTTTGAAACAAGAATATTAATTATCATGATTACCTCGTATATTCAATTGTATTGTGTATAATTGCTCTACAAAATTTGATTTTCAGTCTTTACATTTTACAAACTATTAGAGATAACAGAGTTAACACTGAAGCATTGACTAGAACCAACATGACCAATATGACATGTACAGCATCCTGTAGCCCTTTGATTTCGATGTTAAAAACGTTGCAAAATTTAGAAATACTGATGACTTATCTCAAGCTTATATTTTACAGTAGAATAAGGAATGTTAGCATGGCTAGATTGTAGGCTTATACTCTAGGCACATCTTTATGTTAAAAACATAACATCTTTATGTTATGTTTCAAAATTCAAGACAGTTGATAGAATTAAAGCACAGAAAAATTCAATCTGTTTCTTATTTGGGAATTTTAACCACCATTTGGAGAAATCATCTATTTTCAGTTTGGACAGGGTTTTTTAGCAGACCTGCATGCAAAAGGTATCAGATTTTAAGCCGTGTTACCTCAATGTTATCCTCCTCTAAGTAACCACTGGTGAACATGTAAATAATGACCCTCTCTATTATGATATTGAAGGTCACGATACCAAACATCCAGAATCTAGCTGCAGCAGTGCGGGGAGTTGATGTTATTAGGTATGACAGCACAATAGAAACAGTGTAATACACAATGGAGTAGAACCCAGAAAATTCTCCCAACATAGTCTTCTGAAGGTGGACAATTTTGTCAAATATGTCGTTAATGAGAATTCGTTGTTCATCTGTTGTTTTTTGGAAATCTAATATTACTGCATGAAGATTTTCAGAGGATGAGTTGATAATGTTGCTGAGGTTTGTGGACTGTTGAATGATTATTTCCTGGTTTTTGAGAGCCTCTTTCTGTAAGTCTGTTGTTGCTGCCAGATTCTCGGCCACCTCGTCTGATGCCTGGCTGAGTCTAGTGATTGTGTTCTGCGTATTCTCATGCCAGACCTGAGACTGCAGAAAGTAACATATGCTGTGGGTGTGCGTAAAGAAATTAGTCAGTGATGTTCTGTCCGATTCAGTAACATCCAGCAAACACTCTCTCACGCTCACGGTCTCATCACACGGGTACGTGGTCCTCCCTTGAATTTCTAAGAAGCAGTTCAGATAGGACAATGCTAGTCTGCTTTGAGTTACATCTGTTAAATGCTTACAACCTTCCTGTAGCAATACAACAGTGTTTGTCCAACATTTACCGTACTTTGGATTCTGTGAACGTCTCTGCAAAACTTCAAACTGTGTTCTACCTTCTTCGTACTGAGTCTTGTCCATTTCGTTTACCCCGACGCCACAGCTCACGAACATTAACAAGTACAGCAGCCCGAGATCCCATGACATCATGTATGATATATGCCAGTTCTGTGAAAATTAGACTTTCATCAATACAACAGCCCAATTTGATGAGTACAAGTTACAACAAATAACATGTTTGGTTTTGTTTGAAATTTGATAACTTTTGACGTATACTTTCCTTTTCCGTTCTTTCGGAAGTCCTCCAGATTTTTCTAAATTTTAGGTAAGTCTTACATTAAATAGTCGTATTATAAATAAAATAAAATGAAATGAAATAAAAGAAAACAAGTATTAATTAGTTTTCCTAAAAAGCTTGTCTGAAATGAGCAAATTGATTATTACGTGAAGAATCAAGAAAAGTTATATCCAGTGTAATCAACATGACTCTGAGTTATGAAATGAATTCTTTTGCTACGAAACAAGAAAAGTTCAATATTCAGTAGCATCAACATAAAATAAAACTTGGACATTAATTTATTCTATATACACTATATTACTTGTAATTTCTTTTTTTTTCATGGACGTAGGAACCGGGGGAGGGGGGGGCATTTAAGCAAAAGAATATTCAACAGCTATCCTTCCCTGATATTTTGTTTAACTATGAACAAATCAAACGTCACTCTCCACCATCGGCTCATTAGTCAGCCCGCGGGCTGACTAGTTACGGTGGGATGAAACTGCAAGTGCGCTTGCGTAATTTGGAATTCTGGGAAAAATATTTACACGACTTGTTCTAAACACTGCTAAAGAAACTCTTACTATTTGCTCCAATCAGAAGGCCTGCTTCTTCACGCACACTCTCTGAATAAAGAAACGACCTTGATCTATTTATAGACTGCATTATTCTTTGTTCGTTTTCGACGAAAATTAAAGACATATATTGTTCTAAGTGGGAAATTTGTACTGTTTTATATTGTACTTTGAAAATATTTCGGTGCTTTTTATAGAAGATAAGTTAAAATGTACAGCACATTTAAACCTTGAGATATATATATATATATATATCTTCACCGAGTACACCCGATAGACCGGACGCAATTCATAGCGCTCCGGATTTCTTTGTTCACAACTGTTTATAAACTCCAAATTAAACATGTAACCTTGTAAATATTTAGTGTTTGGTAGTTTAGTATTAGTGCTAGTTGTTTTTGCTTCTCTATTTCCTTTGTTTTTATGACTTCTTAACTTTTTTCTTTGTCCTGAGGAAGGGACAGGTTGTCCCGAAAATTTGACAATTATTATTGTTCGTGTCGTTGGTCATTTTTAGTGCTTTATATAAATTTCCATCCGTGACCTTGTATCTACTTAGTAGATCCGACACTTAGGATATACAGTGTTGTTGGTTTTTAGTGCTTTATATATATATATATATATATATATATATATATATATATATATATATATATATATGTACCCTCAATCGCCGTTGCAAGTCATGAATTTGTGTGTATTCCTCTGGATGCCTGATGCAAGACCCTCGATCAATATCTTGCATAAGACATGTAAGGGTCGGAATTCACACAATAATCCACTTGCTACAAAGGTCCCACAGGTACTTGTGGACAGGACCCCCCCCAGCCCCCCTCCAATATGCCCCACAGGTCAAAAAATATTTTTAAGTATTTTTTTCATAAATTATTCTTCTAGTACACATTTACAATGTATTCCATAAGAAAAATCCAAAAAATAACACAGAATTACGTTTTACTAAAAAATCATACCCGCGGTATTATATTTTATAATACCGCGGGTATGATTTTTTTAGTAAAACGTTAATTCTGTGTTATTTTTTTGGATTTATGAAAAAAATACTTAAAAATATTTTTTGACCTGTGGGGCATATTGGAGGGGGGGGGGGGGGGTCCTGTCCACAAGTACCTGTGCAAAGGTCCCAGCTCAGTGAAAAATGAATCTCGTTTCACTTTAATGATGAAAGTTATGAAAACATCAGAAGACCACTGTAAGACAGTAAAATCTTATAATTTACATGACAAGTTTTAAAAAAAGGACTGCAATACGTGGACTATAGGTCTATGTTTCTAGCAGAAATTTAAAGAAGTTCTGGATTAAATAAATACGTTTTACAAAAAAGAAGTCTTCCATCTTGAAACATGTAAATTTTAAAATAATCATGATTTAACTTTATGGCCTTATTACTAAAACTGTAATAACGAATGAAAGATACATGTACTATATGTAGCCTTGACCTTTAAATGGGGACATCCATTTATTATCACAAATACCCCACATGTAAACTGTCTTGCTCGTTTTCAGATTTAATAATGTTGTCCAGTTTTTACCAGACGAGTGTTGTTCTTGAAAGAGAGGACATATCTGTTAAAGATTACATCTGTATCTGTAGGTCCCGGGAATGGGGTATTAAGTATTCAATCTAAGCTCATTTACGATCTAACCCCCCCCCCCCCCAAAAAAAAAAAAAAACACCGAATAACATTTTTTATGTCAGGTCCTCGACCCCCCCCCCCCCCCCCCAACTGAAAAATGCGTCATACGAGCACCTGGATGCAGAAAACTGATGCCGATGAAATTTGGGTCTGGGTAGGTACATGTAGGTGGGAAATTTTTTTTCCTAAAAAAATTTTAACATCAATGCTGAATTTTCAAATTGTATTTTCTGAAATGCATAAAAAAAAATAATTGTTTCCTGGAGGTTAAAAAATGTTTTGAGTGGGGCCTTTTTTAGCCAGTCGGTCGGGAGAGGGCAACCAAACAATTTTTTTTAAAGATGGCCTTAGGCGAATTTAACTTAGATTACAATGACTTTTAAGAAACACAACATGATGAATAAAACAAAACATATACCATCACAAAACAAGAAAGAAACTTTCTGTATTCCAGTGGCTGACTCTCAGCTTTTTTTAAAAAGCTAACCTTGTACATTCACTGTCTGAGAGAGGAACGAACGACAACTCTGCATAGGCGATTGATCAAACGTCTGCAATTTATGAATATGCGTAGATTTCTAAACATTCTAAGGTTAGAGAGACTTGGTATGCATTGAAAATAAACATCCATTACTTAATCTGATAAAGATAATCGACAAGTGTTTACCTGACCAGCTTAATTCCTTCTGTTTTGCTGGACATGAATGATGCCTTCTCGAGTTAAATAACCTGTAATGTATAATGTGATATCACAATCAAGCTCCAATGCTATGGCTTGCTTGGGTGTTTAGCATGTTTCCTTTACTCCTCATGCTCTCCAATTGATAGTTAAGATAGTATGAAGTTTCCAAGATCAAGTTATCAAAAGAATTCTATTGAACGACATGACCAACAAGCCTTGGCAAAATCTAGTACTGTCTGACGCCATGACGTCAGACAATAAAATAAATAAGAGGTAATGAAAAATACCACCGGCGCTTGTTTCGATAATAATTTTTTTTAACCCATAGTCCTAGTATAACATAAATTCTTTAACCCATAGTATAATAATAACATGTTGTCTTGAAGTGTTTGAGACAAAAATGCTTCAACGCTGCTCTAGAAATCAAAGTATATAAATGACATGTACATTTTATAGGTAGCGCAAAACAAGATACTAATAACCCGAAACTAGAAAAAAAAAAGTGGCCAAAAACTAACTAATTCAATCTAAAATGCTGGAAAATGCACCATTTGGAGCCGGGGGACAAAACTCACGCGATGATGGTCTTACCATATAAATGTACATGTATTATAAATGAGTTTAAAATATATCTTTATAATTTATACAGTTTTGAAATTGTTTAGCTTTTCTTTTCAATCGATTTCCGGACCTTTCTCATATTTATAATGACGTGCTTTTTTATGAAATGAAGACCAGTAAAGATCATGATGTCTTCTTCATTTTGCCGATTCTTTACTTAGAACCTTACGGGAGTGAAGCCCATTCCTCTACGGGTACTGACCTACACTCTTTAAAATTGTCACTGTATTAAAAGGAAACCCTTGTTCATCACAAAGCATGGAGTAATATGCTACTCGCTGACTTTCTAAGTTTTTTTTTTTTTTTTTTTTTTTTTTTTTTTAAAAACCTAACCTTGTAACGTACAATAGTAATAAATGTAATATTGAAAGAAAGGCTAGGTGGACAACAGACTGAATCAAGAAGGGATGCTCCATTTACTATAGGTGGAGGGAGTTTGTTTATGATAAGACTAGTCCACTTATGGGATACATGTAAATAGTAAGAATAATCAGCAAAATCATTGCTGTAGTGTTGCCTGTCCATATACAATATGTTCTCTTAAAATAATGAGATAAAATTTACTGTTAATAAAAATTCTGCAGCTTATTATAAGAATCATGTTAAAAGAATAAACTTTATTTATTTCCATAGAAGTTATCACACACATTCAATAGAACAACCCAAGAAAAAGGCGCGAAGATAATTTACATGTGACATTTGGTGCGAAATGATTGAGTCACCCCTTTCATAGAAGCCAAATGGACTGATCCAGTAGTTTAAAAACGCAGAAAAAAATGTTACAAGGACATGTCCGTACAAAGAATCGCAAAGAATAAACATGTGCATGCAAAAAAAAAACAAAAAAAAAAAACAAAAACAAAAAACAAAAAAAACAAAAACAAAACAAAAAAAAAAAAAAAAACACACAAAAAAAAAAACCTGAAGGAATTAAACATATCAGTATTTTGCATCAGTTATATGATTTTTTCTTCTGCAAACTGTATTTGCTTAAATGCAGGTAACAAATTCCGATGTAATCAGCTTGCACAAAATCTAGTTCATTAAGAATGATCGCTTAGTTTCGATTCCTGAAAAATTAATCCTTATACTGCTTGACGCACGTGGCGTCAGGCAATTAAGAAAGTATTAAGAAATAAAGGTGTACTCGTATTGTTAATCATTTTTCACTGAGCTCGAGAAACAAGCGTTACGTATCATGTAATAGTTTTCCTTTAAGATTTTAGGATGAAATAATATAGAATTAAATAAATCCTCAATGTCAAAAAGCACTGCCATAATGTATTTTATGAATTGATCCAGTCAAATTGTTGTATTATTTTTTTTTCTTCAAATGAATTTCACATATCTCTAAA